CATGTACCAAGTCCCTCTTCATGGTCAGGAATTCTGCAAATTTTTCAGTTTTGTCAGAATCAAAGTTTTCCACAGGAAAAGACTGATTTTTGGAGGATTTATTTTTTACTGGAATTGTCAAATGAAACAACTTTTTTTTCTTTTTTTTTGCTTTGGTTGAAAAAAATTACTGAGCTGCAATTTGACATAGACCACGCGTTTTAAATCGCAGCCCCCATTCTCCCACAGGACGAAAGCTCCGGTCCCTGTTATCTCCCCGTGCCTCTGTTCCCTGTCCAGACCCCATATCCCGTGAGCATCCCATGAATACTTCCCCGCTCCAGCTCCATTTTTCAAAGGTGCCCGCTGGAGAAGGAGCGGATGCTCTGGCTTGGGCCGAAGCAGGGCGTCGCGCTCGGAGAGCTGCCGAAACCAGCCCTGCTCTGGGGGAGGAGGCTCTGGCAAAGAGAAACATCCCGAAACGCTTGGCAAGGCTTTTTTTGCCAACATGGTGTAAAAATACTGCGTGTGCCTCTGCAGGTCTGACCCGGGCTCTAGAAAAGCCTCAGGCTTTGGCTGGAATCAGATGGTTGGTTTTAAACGCGTTCACTGGAGAATGACGGTTAAAGGAACAAAACCAATGCGCGAAGCAAACCTCACACTGTCAACTTCCAGTTCAATGTACATGAGTTTAGAAAAACAGCCTATATCTAACTCCTGGTTTTAAAGGGAATGGTTTTATTCTTAATTACAGTAAACACGGATGAGGACTTATTTCTAACTATTAGTTTATTAACACAGTGGGAAACAAATAGTTCTGGGAAATTGCACTTGAAAAATACATCAACTATAATTAGATGTAAATTAGCACTTAGTATGACACACTAATGAGACAGAAGGTATTTTTTTTCATTGCAAACTTCTACTTCTATCATAGCTAATCAAAGTATTTTAATATTACGAAGTCTCAAAAAGTAGGAAATAATTTATTGTTTGAAAGCATAAAGATTCTTGTAAAAAAAACCTTTCATCAAGAACTTTAATAATTTTAGAACTCTTTTATGTTGTCCTAGCCGAAAAGTAGGTAAAAAAGTTTTCTTGTCTGCCTCCGTTTGAATTTTTTTTAAAAAGCTTGTGTAACACCTTTCTCCATAGTGTGTTGATACAGAAAGTAGCACAACATTTTCTACTTTTAAATCGTTCCCATTGCTCCATTCGCTTTAGCTCTCAGAGTTCAGAGGTTTGAAAAAGGATCCCAGCAGAGTTTTAACCTGAATGGAAACTCTTAATAAGCAGGGATGAAGGCTCCAACCCACCTCCGCCAAAATAACGGTGTCGCTCTGCCAGGCTGAGGGCTAGGCAGAGCTTAACGGCGACTAGGGGAAGACTTTCGCTTAAAATTGAGAATTGTGTCTTGGTTCTTGCAAGGAGAGAGGCTTAAGCAGGGTTTACCTGGTGGGGAGAGGGGGTTCAACTTGCTTTTTGGGATGTTAAGGCAGCTCCTCCGGGATTTTCCTGGAGGACATGGTTGAACTAGCTGAAAGCCTCGTATCCAAACCACCACCGAGTCACTGATGCTGCGGCCATCGCAGGATCAATTAAGACTAAAGAGGTTTTAACAGTTTGGCTGAGATCTCCCACCATCAGTGAGCCACGCTTTCCAAATCATGATTTTTTTTTCTTGTCGCCACTTCTCTAGTCTTCTGGTAGGAAAGATTTTCTGGGCAAAGATGATGGGTATATTCAAAGGAATCTACAGGAATTAGATGCTCCTCTCTCACTGCACCTAATTCATCCAAGGGGAATCGGGCATCTCATTCTCATATGGCTTGGTCAAGTGGTCACTAAAATCAACAGGAGTACTATTAAATTAAATTACCTTTGAGTCAGGCCCTTGAGCTTTGAGATTCCAAGCCTAAGTGTAAAAAATGAAAGCAGGAATTTAAAAGAAAAAAAAAATTCAGACTTTCTTAGAAACATACAGAAGCAAAGGGTACAAATTAGTTCCCCCCTTAGGTGATGCATAGAGTTTTCTGTGGGCTCTCTGCACGTAAGTAGATTCATCATTACAAAATAAATTAAATTAGGTCGAACCGTCATTTCCATCTAAAAGCAACTATACCTTGCACCATGCGGCACTTATTCATAATAAAAAGAGTTTAATAAATATCTCATAAACGGTGATTATTTTTGTTCTATTTTAAAAAATACAAAGTTGTCATCCATTCTGTTAACACTCAGTTCCCATTGCTGCAGGAAGTTTTGCTAGTCCGAACATATTAGCTTCTCATTTTCTTATGCACATTGCTTAGGTATCTTAGTTTCCAGTAGCGTTAGTGTTGCACTTGTGAAGCAGTAAGGAAAACAGGAATGCAGTCGCAGGGAACCGGTGGCTTTGCCTGCGCGGCCCACCCCGGCTCCGCTCTGCTTCTCGCTCTTGCTCTACGTAGTCTATAGGGACTCCTGACAGACAGCACTCAGCACCTTGCCGGATCAGGCACTAGGGCTAGTCGAAATAAGAATTCAAGTTTTCTAAATGTTAGGCAAAAAAATGATATTTGCAAATATGCTCAAGTCCCACCTACTTCAATCCTTCCCTTTCCAGGTGTTTCAAGATGCACCCACCCTCTTCTCCCCCACCTGCGTTGTCCCGAGGGATGCCTTACACCCAGAAATGGGACACCCCCTTCCCACCCCATCAGGGAGTCTGTAATGCTCAGTACACGGATGCTCTACGGTTTCAGTAGCGCAGGTCAGTTTTAGAAAGTGTTGCCTTCAAAAATATTTCTTCTTTTTCCATTTTTTTTTTTTTTTTTTTAACAGGCAAAGCTTATGCTGTGTCAAAGGAAAGCGGCTCACTTGATGAGTAGTTCGTATTCATCCTTGGGCTTGGTTATAAATCATATTTGCAAGTTTGTATTAAGGGATCTCAATATTAGAAAAAAGAAAGTCGTACAACAATTTTTCTGTAATCCTTTAAAACACACTGGTGGCAAGTCCTTTGCAGTTTCTCCAAGACTTTGTATACAGTACAAAAGTGCAGGAACATGAACTGCCTTCATCTCGTGACACCAAGAACGGAAAGAAACAAACTCCAAATAGCTTCAAAAAAAGCTACGAGCATGTAATATCTTTATGTTGGTCCAGAGGATCTCCACTTACTACCTCAACACATGCCACAATTAAAGAGGTGAGAGGGTATTTTAACATCGCTCCTTCTCTTTCATGACAGATCCATTCTGTTTCGGTATTTCTTCAAAAGGCGCGAGGAAGGAAGGTACTTCAAACAGGCGTCGTTCTCCTGTTGACCATGTTGACGTGGAGTCCTTCCTTAAATTCCTTCTGAAGGAAGTTGTGAACCTGCAGAAAACTGGCTTCTTGGTCTGCGTTGTAGCTGGCAGCCGTTGTAACCTTCATAGGCTCTCTGGAAAGAGGGTATAAGAGTGTACATGGAAATTTCGTTCATGGGAATGGTGCTTGCTATCTTCATGCCAACCGGAGAAATGTCTCTAGATGGAGAAGGCTCTGTAGATCGAGAACTGGATCTGGACCTCCGCCTCCTGTACCTATAACTTGGCATCCTGGCATAAGGAGAACTGGAAGAAGTCTTAAGGAATTCCCTCTTGGTCTTAAACCTCAGCTCTTTGTTCTTCTCAATATAAATGTTCACAGCCAGAACACCTATGGTTTCGGCCACAATAAAAGACAAGGCTCCAAAATAAAAAGACCAACCATAGTTGTAATGGTTCTTTTTGTCCTCATCTCGCTTGTCACTTGGGTCACCTGCATTGCTTGATATGTAGACAATGATCCCTATGATATTACTTAGTCCTAGAGAGAGAAAAACATAGATCAGTGGTTATGTGGCTGGGAAGATAAAATTCAAGCCATGTTACTTTCTGGACCTGAATGGTTCAAAGATTATGACGAGGAAATTTTATTACATTTATTTACTCTTTCATTTATCTCAAGATTTCATTTACCCTTGAAAAACAAAGAATAGATCCACATCTGGTCACGTATGCTCGCATGGATCCTGACTTGTTCCCATCTCTTCATTGCCACGTTGGGAACTCGCTAATAGTGTTAGTGGGATTCTAACATTCAGAATAATAATAAAAATACATTTTGAGCTCAGGGCTATGGCTGTTCACCTTGATCAAGATAAGTTCTCTTCCACCTTGCTGAATTTTCATCTAAATGCAGCATGCTTAATCCAAGCTTCAGGGAAAGCTATTAGCAATGCGGCTGACTCTCTCAGATGTTTCTAGTGTGAAAAACGGGCTCACCTATCGTAGGTGATTTTTTTCTCCCATTGTATAAAAGAAAAGAAAAAGGCCCTGGATGTAAGAGACGCCCGATGCATCTACTATTTTAATACATTTTAAATAGTGTGAAACCTGCTTTTTACTGACTTTAGCTTCCTTTTTCAAGAAAACTAAAAGCTTTTCTAGAATATACTTGTTGTAGAGCTTCAAAAACATATTTTTGTCGTAAGAAATTTGCCTAGTGAGATGTTGCTAGTGCGCTCGATCCAGGACAGGGGTGCAGGGAGAGAACTGCCAACAAGCTTTTCCACAGTCCTTTTCAGTTTAAAAAGGCAGCACTTCTGAAGGACTCAATTTAAGGAGAACATACCTGCTGCAACAAAGAGAATCCCAGCGCTGAGAATAATGTTGTTTTTGCTGTTGTAAATCCTTCCTGCTCCGACACAGAGTCCTCCCAGCAGCAGCAATATTGTGCTTAGGATGGGGAACACACTAGAGGCACGGACAACGCCTGGAGGGGAGATAGGTAGAAAACCAAGACAAAGAGCAATCATTTCAGATGCCTCCTGGGTGCAAGTGTGGTGATTATAAAGTCTCAAACCCCCTGGATTTTGCTGGAATTATCATGGATTCTGCATTTCTGGGTATGTTCTTGGGATGCGAGGCCAATGTGGTACAGACACTCTCAATTGGAGTAGCTTAAATCTTTTGACTTTCTCCTAGAAAGTGTTATCGCTATTATCTGATGCCACTGTGTACAGAACATTTCTGGCAAAGCATGAGGTAAGTGGCAGTAAGACCCGACATCATGCAGGGAGCGGCACTGAAAAATTAATGAGCTGGCTATGAACCCTACGACGTTTGGGGATGGCTTGAGCAGACGGATCTGTTCCTTGGTACATGCGCAAGGTGAGCAAATTACAGCTCTTGAAGTCTGTGGCATTCGTGTTGCCAGCGAGCACAGCTAATAACCCCTTTTTCTTTTGTGGGCTATTAAGGACATTGAAACCTTTCAGATTTCTAAGGAAGAAATTTTAACAAGTGTGTCTCAGATGTTTGTGTTTAGTTTCCTGACAGCTAAGTAGAGTCGTTTAAAATTCTGTATGCTTCAGTCCATTCACCAGCACGGGCCATAAAACCCCTGAAAAAAAATTTAAAACACCACTTTAAGCTAGCTTTCAAAGTTGGGTCACTACAAGACTGAGCAGCAATCGAGAGGGAAGTGGAAGGGAGGGAACAAAAGGGCTGAGGAAAAAATAAACAGGCACAAGAAGAGGAAGTCAGTATTGTAAAAGCCAAAGGGTTAAAATCTGGTAGGTGTTCCTGAAGGGCAGAGTGAGGAACCAAATTATATTGTTACAGAGAGAGGGTTTTTTTGAAGAAGCGGAGCTAAGGTGCTGAATACTGTTGTGGAAAACAGGCTTGCCCCAAAGCTGGGGGCCACGGAAAGGCAAAGGTGCGGAAGGGAGTCCCGGCAGCGTGAGCGGGTGCGGTGGCGTGGGGGTGCCCAGGGTGCGTGGGGGTCAGAGGCTGCCGTCTCAGAGGGGGGGAGACCCCGCGGCACGCCAGGCGGACACGGAGAAAAGTGCCGAAACGGCATCTGGGCCAGCCTGCCGATGCGGTGCCGTTAGCGGTGCGGTCTCTCCCGGGTGCCATTTGCTGGCTGACACGCACAGTGAGCGGCACCCGTTTCCCGGGGAGAAACGGCCAGATGTTACAGCTGATGCCTTCGCATTTTACTTCTGATGGCCGCGGCGTTCCCAATTTCGAGAATGGCTTCCTAATGATTCCCCTGGTAACTGGTGGCAAAACTCCCACTGGCTACAAGAGGGACAGGGCCGGGCATTTAATAACAGCGCTGCTTTTGTGTGCGCTGCAAAGCCCCCGAGAGCCCCGGTTACGGGCCCAGCCCTCACTAGGATGGTGCAAACATAAAACAAAAAAGACAGTCCCTGCCTGGGAAGCTTACGCCTGCATCGATCTGCAACAGCGAGAAGAGTCCGTCTCCTACCAAAGCAGGCAACGCCACGGCACGTGTCCTTTACAGACGGGGCGTTTTCTAACTGGATCTAAGCCCAGTTCAGCCAGATGCATTGCTATTCCGACAGCGTCTTGCAATAATCGGCAAATCCGAGTAAAGAGGGTGTAAGGTCTCTAATCAAAGCCTGTTGAGTGCTGAGAGCCCATTCTGTTGTCCTGGGTGTATCCCGCCGTGTCCGAGACGAGGTAACAGGGCTTTGACTTTTGGGTCAGTTTTTAGATTCAATTATTAGAAAAATATTTGATGTCAGGCTCTGCGCCGCTGGACACAAAGGCACCCCAAATCACTGCCTGTCTGTTACTGTCCTGACAAAAGGCAGCCTAGCCTTAAAATCTACTGTGGCCCATCCTTTCTGGTCGTTGTTTTCTGTATTTTATGTTGATGCTGTTTATAATGATTTCAATTAAATCAAAGATCTTTCCTAAAATGCTTCAGTGATATCATCGGAAGGAACTTGCCAGACATGCCAAATATAGGTGGTGGGTTGTTCTACTTCTAGCAATAATCTCCAGAGAGAATTTTTCTGTAGTAGGTAATTAATGTAAAGAGAAACAAACCGCACAGTGTTCTCTTCCCGTAAAACTCCACAGTACATTTTTTCCTACAATGTGTACTTTTAGCTCTGAAATTTAAAAGGAAGCTCATAGGTACCATGTAGAATTTACATATGTCTTCTGATACCGGTAATAAAATGACAGCGCATCAAAAAACATTAAGGAAATGTGGGTTTTGCTTCCTCCCTGGCTTTTTTTTTTTTTTCTTGTTTACCGTCCTGTCTGTTTGCATCGGCTGTTGTGCACCGCTATGCGTTGTGACACCTCCTTCGGTGAAGTGCCGCAGCGTTGCCGTGCTGCTCCTCCCTGCGGGGCTGCGAGCCCTGGCGCTCTGCTCGTGCTTTTATTCTCCTCCGAAAGGCAGGAGCCAAGCAAACGGCTTTAAAAAGGGGATGCTACGGCGTGCGGGGAAAAAGTGCATGAAAGTGTAGACATGGCCCTGCAACGGGGCCCCCAGTGCCCCCCTCATGGCTGCACTTTTGCACCTCAGCAGAGCCCTGACAGCCTCATGCACACAGTGAGGATGAGTTCGGCTGGAATCCCCTCTTCTGCAAAGAGGGAGAGGTTCATGTGCTTCGTGCGATGCCGGATGGGAGCAGCTTGGTTTCTGCGTGCCTGCAGAAATGCAGGAGAGGAGGGAAGCCGGAGCACACGTGCGTGGTTGGGCAATGCCGGCGGCAGCCCTGGGGACTGCATGGGCTTTCTGTGCACGGCAGCGATTACCTCCGGCACTTGCTGGGGCTCTGCACAGACATGTGAAGGGGATTTTTTTAGACACACAGACTGGTGTGTGTTGTCACGGGGAAGGTTCAATACCAGGGGTCTCGTCTGAGCTCCTCTGCACGTGTTAGTTGTCACTGTGGCTGCCGTTCGCGTAGTTTTGCAGGGAGCAGCCTGAATGCTGAAGGGCAAAATCCAATCTCCTGCTCCTACCCACACCCCAGACCAAAGTCCCCTAAAATCACTGATTTCAGTAGGGTTTTGAATCAGGGCTCAGTTCTGCTAGCACCACAATGTTTGCATTTATCTGAAGCCTATATTAGATTGGTAACTGGAGCAGGCTGAGACCCCTCATGCCGCTCTTTTAGGAGCACAAGATGCACAGTGTCGGTGCCCTTGCCTAAGCAAGACAGGAAAAATAAGGGCTACCCTCAACGTGGCCCTCCAAGAGACTTGTGCCAAGAAATGGCTAAAATGCACGGTGAATGATATGGGACAGCAGATTGCAAAGGTGTTGCACAGAGGGCAAAAATGGGACGGAAGGTCTCGCGTCTCCGTTGAAACAGGATGCAAATATCCTCTTGTCTGTGTCTAGTTAGACAATGATTTGGTTCCTATTACACATACGCATGAGCTCATCTCTTCTGGATTTAGATCCATAACCTTCCAGTAATCTCTAAATCAACCATATGCATTTTAAGTGGAGCTGCAGTTTTTCTTGTAAAAGTTAAGGCACAGGAGTCCTGCTACCTGTGCAGGCTACGCGAGGGGACTCCTCTGTGGGGGGAGCAGTCGAAGCCTGATTTTGCAGAAGACATAAAGGTTGAACCAAGTTGTTTTTAAGGTCTGTACTTAGTCACTTTGGAAAGCAGCTTTTAGGAACACCCGTCACAAGTCCGCTACAAACAATTTGCCAATCTCGCCTCTTACTGCGGAGCTGGAGACTGTTTTCCCCAGTTCTCCCTTTTCTCCAAAGAAAGAAGGCATAATACACTTTTGTCAAGATGCTACTTAATTCCTCTTGCCTTTACAGTTCTTTTACTAACGATGTTTCTTTCCTAAAGCTGACTTGGCATCAATTTAACACTGGTTCCAAGGCTTTGTATGGAAGATAAATGCAGCTGTGCTCACACTCTGCTAGCCTGCCTTCGCCTGAGCACTGAAATCATGTCACCCAAGCACTATGACTGATGTAAATTGACAAGAGTAAAGATGAAAAAAACCCTGGGTTTTCTGCTAAAGCATACTTTTCAGAGATTTTTATCCTTTCTTCTTGTCTTAGCAACCAGAAGTTGTTTCCCCGAAGTGAGCAGAAGGGCAGAGTGGTTCTCTAAGTGGTGTTTCAGGTAATTAACAGCAGTGTAATTGAGGAGTGTTTTGCCTTGCCGGGTGTCTCAGCCGGCAGCGGCACTCATCGCTCCCTGAAGCTTTCCCAACACCTTGTGAACTGCAGTTCCTTTCTCTGGTAAAGGGCATTGCTTTCAGCTTGCCTGGTCAGCTCTTTTGTTCAAAAGAAACAACCAGGCAAGGCGCCCGCTGGAGAAGGGAAATGTAACTCAGACTTTGCAGGATTCGTGAAGTTTCACACTCGGGTTCCAAGATTTCCCACCACCTGAGTGAACGGTCGTCTGGAGATGAAACGATCGCCCTTATTTCAAGCCCCAGGTTGGTGGATGAAATTAACTTCTGGGGGGGATTACGCACCAGCACGGAGCAGCAATGGCTGGCTGTCCATGCAGGGAAGGCACAGCCCGTGTTCGTGCTGAGATTTTTGCTGTTAGCTGCAGAAATTTCAGCTTCCTTCCTACAATGCAGTAATTTCACTGCAGGGGGAGGTGGCTCAGCAGCTGCAAAGGATGAGGCTTGCATAAGGGTTGGGTTTAAGCATTAGGAAAAGCTTCCTAATGGGCTGGAACCCACTCCTCAAACCTGTTTTGGTACACTAATCAGATAAATACTCCCTCTGTAAAACATCCTCGCCAATCTGGGAATGATAGCTGTAGTTTTCATTTGAAAATTTTCTGTATAATATTTAGAGAAAAGGCACCACAATCGTGAGCGCTCCCCTGGCTGAAGGAAACCCTTCAAATGAGGGTCCCCAAGGGTCATGGTGGGGTCTCCTGCAGCGTGAACTGGACATACGTGACCACTGCCCTGTGCCACCCAGTTTGGGCCAGTCTCTTGCCGTGAATAAGACTTGGGTTGGACTCTACAGACGAGAAACCCAGAAAAGTCTCTCCGGCCATGTCTGTTAATCCCGTGTATTAGGTATTGCTTTTCACTTACGGAGAAGGTATTCTGAGCTGTCATGGTCATAGTCATTGTCTTCAGGGAAGTGGTTGATTCGGAAGCAATGTCCTTTGTAGATTCCTAAATGAAAACAAAGCAAACATAACACATAAGGAATAGAACCAGGTAAACACGCTTCTGCCAGCTCTGCTCAATTTCCTTTTCCTCCCAGGCTGTATTAAGTAAATTATTCTCCCGTAGAGTCAGGCACTGATCTTTTTTTATGCCATCAAGAAACCATCTCTAAGGTCACGAATTTTGGGCAGATTGGGCTGAAGCCTAGCTGAAGGAAGGGAGAGCCAGGATTCCGGGGCTCTTTTCTTCAGTCTGCCACTAACATCGTTCTCTTGAGATCTTTAATCTCTCTGCGCTTTACTTTATCAGCGCCGTGCTTATCTTACGAGCGTACCCAGTTTGCAAAGCTTCTTTTTGTTCCTAGAATGACTGTCACTTTGGGTCCCTGCTCCATGGCTGGGGCTCCACAGCAGAGCCAAGTGCCAATCTAGCACCCATCACCCCTCCTGTCTCGTCCCCAGTGAAGTGCTGGTTTCCCTTATCAGAGCTGCTGAATGTTGAACTGTCTGAGGCCTCTTCAATTACTCTCTAGGCTTGGAAAACAAGTCCATAAATCTCTTCCTGCTGCAATTTACACCCGCATGTCCCCCTCAAGGTTGGCTCGGCTTTTAATGGCATATTTGTTTAGTTAACTGGGAGCCTGTGCAGTAAGTCAGGGCGTGAGTGTGCACTCCTGACACCTGAAGGAACAATGCCAGAGTTGGCTGGATGAACCCCTCGCTCAACTGCACAACATGAGGTTCATCGCTTTGTCCATCCGGATAAAGCTTTACATTAGTATTTTGTATTATTTTCTATCACGGTTCTCCATAGCCGCATCCGGTCGTAGCCACAGTCGGGTAGCGGAGACGGCTGTTGCACAGCGAGCTGCATGGGGACCTCTCCCCAGAGAGCTTACTGCAGGAGTGAAGCCCCGAGGTGCGATTCTGCCTTGGCGCTTTCATTATTCATTAACCAGCGCTTTTGTGCTCAGGAACATACATCACCCACGATGAGTTATCCTCTGCACAGGAGTTTCGGTGCTTACAGCTCGAGCTGGCAGAAGGATTTAAAAACCATCACTTAATACTACTTTAACAGAAGCACAGCTGCAGTCTGTAGGATATAAATGTGGATTTATTTCACTACCTATTACCAATGATTACAAAGATCTCAAAAGAATTACTAATCCGGAGGATTTCAATTGCACCCTGTGAGTGTCAACTGCAGGTTTGCTACTACAGTGCATTTAATTCTTCCACTAAATGATGTATCTACTCTAATTGCGGGAACAGCTCAGGCTTTCTCTGCACAGCACTTGAAAGTCTGCGAACAAGAAGTGGCTCACGTCACATCTGGAAGTGACACACCTGTCCCGTCTGCCAGGTGGATGAGAGCCCTTCAGCTGGGACTGCTCCTGCTAAGCATGTTTGCCCATGCATCCCTCTGTTTGCCGTCAGCTCGTTTGTTGCTCCCGATGGCTCTCCAGCAAGGCAATCCAAAATTCAGATTTTTAAAGATCCCAGCGCTTATTTTTACAGCAGTTCACGCAATGAAACTAAATCTCTCCCAGCATAACAGGGCTTCAGAGACTGGATGGTCATTTCTTTGAGTCTCTTCATTATGGTGTGCCAATTTAGAGGAAATACATTCAGAGCATGATTTTCATCCTCTCCTATTCATTAAGGAAAAAATGTAAATAATCTTCTCACCCTAATTTCCTATGGAAATTATGGAGACTCTGTGCTTGTGTGTGTATAGGTGGGGCACTCTCTCAGTCTGTATGTACTTCTCCAATAACTTTGAAGCTAGTTGGTTGAATTTATCCAAAGCTGATGATAGAAAAGCAGAAGCATCACAGGTAAGTGAGCTCCCACAACTTCCGTGCAAACAGGGAGATGCACGAAGGAGAGAGCTCTGTCCACCGAAGGCTGCTTTGTGAACTTGCTCATTCACAGAGCATGGACACGGGCAACAGCCCAAATGAACATCCCACTTCCAGAAACTCAGTTAAGAGACAAGAAGTCTGCAAGACTGAAATGTTCCCCAAGCCGCTTGTGTTTGCAGCACTGACGGATTGATGGAGGGTTTTGGCATCTGTAAAATGGCCTTGCGTTATTAAATTTCTGAATGAAATAGGCCCCTCAGCAGAACTTTCTCTTACACAGAGGCCATGAAGCCATCCCTTCCACCGCAGGCCCGAAACGCATCAGCAGGGCAGGATGGGTTGGTATTAGCAGTGTCTGGGCTTTTCCTCTCTTATGCTTGGAGACCTTCATTTCTTGGTGCTTATATCTGGAGCCTTTCACATGAAAGAGTATTAGCAAGTCTAGCAGAGGTGAAAAAAGAGGACAGTTAGCCCCAAACAGAAAATTCTAGATGAGCTTGAGAGATTCTTTCTATTTCCAGTTCTTAGGGATACTGAGATTAGTCATTCTGGCCAACTTCTTATAGAAATAGCAAATGTCTGTGAAATTTGGACCTGTATCAAAGCCTGGGAAACCAAAATATTCTTCCTAGTGTTTTTGCTGTAGTTCAGATCATTGATATTGGTTCAGGGTCCTCTCTACTGTCTATGGTATTTGATAGTTAATAACAGCAACAGACTGGATAAATTTTTTCCATAAACTTAATAGGTGTCATATAACTCAGCAGCAGCTTATTAAATTCTCAGTGAGGCTTGAAGTCACTATCAAGAACTCTGGGTGATCTACAGGGTACTGAGGGCTCTTCTAATCCACAAAGTATCAGAAACAAAGTTTTGCTAGGAAATGTAACGCTACCTTTTTTTCGTAATGATGGACTTTGAAACTCAGGTTTGGGAAAAATCAGAACTACCTGGGTGGAAGCTACTGAAGCAGTGGTTGGCTTTAAAAGCACAACAGCAGAGTCTGACTTGTACTTAAACACAAAAAATACAAACAAAATAGAACTGAGATTTGGTGAAATACCTGGCTCCATGCCCTAGCATGTAAAGCAATGCAAAAGAATAAAAGCCATGAAACAGAAGAAGTGGCAGATAAGGAAACACCTCAGTTAAATTCAGCAACAACTATTCTACAGCATCTGCACAAGGCCTGAAGTCCTTGAAGCTCTTCTCAAAGGCTTCACAGAGGATGCCTTGAAGCAATGTGTAGACAAACGTGGCCACTGGTCCACGCTCAGTAAGGCACACATGGGCTGTTTTCCACACCAGGATGTGACGTGGAAGAGAGATTTATTTTCTTTGCTTGAGTATGAGGATACAGTCCCTTATACACTTTGGAGAGGAAGATGGAATATTTAGCTTCTACTTCTGTACCCACTAGAGAGAGAGAAATAAACTGCAATCACTGCCTAACAGATACTAAAATATTGAGAAGCACTTCTGGATACCTCTTGAGAGTAAGATATAATATCCCACTGGGATGCTGTAAGTATTACTCCTTTCCTTGAATGATTACTGATACGTTTTAAATGATGCTTTTAGAAATACAAATATTATAATGCATCTTTTCCTCATAATAATAACTTTGCTCTGAATTTTGAGCCAGGACTTCAGGATCTGGGTTAATGATAATGAAGAGGCAAATTTTCTGAAGTGTTGCTGATGGTGTAAGAACATTTTTTTTCCACTGGTTGCAGTGTACTTAGCTGGCATTTAAAAACTAAAAAATGTTTCTGACTTGGCTTTACTCTGTGTTCAAGGGCTTCTCCGACAAGGTTAGTACTTCCCAGTCTCACTAAATGTTGTTCAGATAACTATAATTAGAGTGTGATGTACTCAGATAATGTGATAAGGGAGGGAATTGTAGCGCCTAAGTGAAGATTAAGCTTTGTTTTGGGGTTTGAGATCTCAAAGTACATAGAGTTTTCAACAGTAAATCAAAGTAGTGATCCCAGATTCTGATGACATACTACCTTCTCCTTGCTCTTTCTCAAATAATCCTTTAATAATCCTACCTGTACCGTTGCAGAATTGTTCACTGGGGTTTTATTTTTTGATGACTGAGAGCAATGGTTAATGCTGTAGGATGCAAATGCTCATTAATGTTGTTTGTGGCCATGCATTACATCATCACGTTGTTGTTGGCCATGCCATCAGCCATGTCTTTGAAACAGCCATTTCCTGTGGTTAGTATTTATCAATTACAACATTCCCTGATGCCCTGGAAGTCTTTGCACAAATCAGCACTGGAAGATAAAGCACTTAAATGTCTGACAGTATTTGTCAAGGCAGCCTGTACTTTTTTTTTTTCCACCTCCCCCCTAATCCTGAAAACTATACAACAAGATCTTTCCATAACATTAGTGTTCTGTTGTCATTTAAAATGGGTTCCACCACGCAGGATGCTAGCAGCTTTGCAGCAGAGGACCTTGTCTGCAGGGTGCTTCTGTCAATAGCAATTTTTGTCTCCTTGCTCTGAGCACAAGCTTACGGGAGGTGATATCTGATAGCAGTGGGAGACACATGAGGATAGATGGGTTGAGCTGCTGCCTCCTTCGCCATCGACAGCTTCTGCAGAGCTATCGCTCGATTAACTATTTCACCTACCAGCCCTCTCAGCTGCCCTTGTTCATGAGACTATGCAGTAAAGCATCATTTTTGGGACTTGGTTGAGAAGCCTTTCTTGTTTTCTCATGGGACACCAGACATTTGCGACCTCCTTGGATCAAACTCTCCCTGCCAACACGCCACATCCTTGTAGCTCTTGAGCAGCTACAGATACTTAGTGCACACGTGCACACTATTAATAGAGTTAAGCAGGGTTTTCTCCTGAGGGGGGTTATACTGATGGAATGAGTGCTATGAATGTCAGCTGCAGAAGTGGTCGAATGGCTACAGCAATTACCTGCAGGCAGGTAAATACACCCCATAATTGTCCAGCCTAAAATCCCACTAACCAGCTGATTTCTTTCTGGCAAATGTGGGTCTTCTGGGATAGTTTGAAGATGTGGAAGGAAATTATTTTCAAGATCATTTGATGGCAAGTGCTTCCAGATATAGGGAATACAAGTTGCAAGGAGCTGACTGTATATTAAAAATA